GGCTTGCGGCAACCACATGTGACGACCCCGGGCTGGACTCCGCTTCGTCCACGGTGAAAGCCGATCCGGCGATCCACAGCGCGAAGTTTATGTATTTCCTCAGTGACCAGCACGGATCAGCTCTAGGCATGACGAAGCGGATATCGTCCTCTTTTGGAAGACCAAACAAAGTAGTTTCACTTTCACAACGAAACACAGCGCCTTCACGACATGGCGGCAGCAGCAACAATACTACAGCGAGAATAAAAGTTACGCCTTCTTTCTTTGCGTGAACATTTGGGTGGCGTTATGCAAATCTTCCCACATCGTGACGTAGACATGTGGGGGCGTGTTAGAATGAGCCGTTTTAGGTAGGCGTGTTTGACTCTTAACTTTTATAAAGAATATCTCTTTGGATTTGAGACTTTAGTCTTTCCAACTTTACAGATCTTCTTTATTCACCAAGAGCTTGTAACACTCTAAAGAGAAAGGAAAAATTGAAATTGCATCATATGACCTTATGATAATAATCCTTATTTGTATATTCTGTCACTTTGACTATTCTGTCGTTTTACATTTTATAAGTACTGTGTAAGCTTAAACCACAAAGTGAACGTTAAAAGGCCTATTTTTGAACAACATGTACAAATAAGTTATCATCTGAGAACGTTTTAGCAGCATTCAGGTATTTACTGAGTTGGAGGCATTGTTGTTAAACCAATTGATTAATAACGACCACCTTTACTGGTGATTTTAATACTATTTATTTGGAATTGAAAATGGAAATGCTGAACAAAAATGAACAATTTTATTCTATATTATATTACTACATATGTCCACTTGTTTGTGTAATGCTCAGAGAGCATGTTTTATGGCTAAAGATCCCCTGTGCTGTGTGCTGCAATATTTCCTAATTAACAAAATTAATTTTAAAAAATCCACTTTGATTTCACTTCACTGATACACATTATCGACCACTCAATAGACAATTGCAATTTAAGCTTTCTTTTGCACTTATAGCTGTTAAAATAGCTTTTACAGTAAGGCATATGTATATGTAACATATAACGTTACAGGAATTACAGCAGCCCCTCTCCAGAATGATATTAATTAGGGACAGATAATTATGGCAACAACTGAAATAGGTCAGATCCCTTTCCACCCCATCAACCTGCATGTTTGACTGGAATTCATTATAATATCTTTACGTCGACGTGGATTATGGTTTTGAACAAATTTGCTGGTTCAGCATATTGACCTCGAACACTTATGGCCGTCATTAGCTACAATATACCTCCCTTGAGTGACAGATGGATGCGGGGGAGGGGCTGTATTATTGACCCAAATGACGTTGTCCCGCCTCTTTGGTCAGAGTTGTTTCTCATTGGTTCACAACAGCGTCACTTAACGTTCACGTAGCCTGAGTGGTTTATGTAAATGTAATTTTATGACGTATACTGTCGCACGCATCGGTCACTGGTTAAACAGAGAGGCACAGTGCGGTTGGAAGCCCCGCCCTCCTGCAGCAAGAACGAGTAGGCGGGATTATCAGAGGAGGAATAAAGATGATTTGTCCAGTCCATCCGTCAGGATCATGTTTTGATTGCTCATTGGCTGCAGCTCTGCCCATCGACGCTGAGACTGAAGCGCCTACGGTTATAATGTCGCCCAGTGACCTAGTATTAAATAAAGCGACGGTTATGTAGCGGCAGATTATAGCATCGTCTTGGACATTTTGAATACTACCTGTACATTCAGGAAGACTTGACAGCGTCGAAAATCTACTAAAAAAGGCAATCATTCATCCCGCAGCGATTTTGTTTTTGTAACGTTATAATTTTCCGGATCATGCTGAAATCAGAAGGAAAACGCATATAACAGAAAATCATCATTTGCCTTGAGCAGCGCTGCAGTGCGATCACGCTACCTCTCTGTCCTGGTGGATGTCAGCAGCACATCGATCTACAATACAACACCGCATTGGGTTATAACTGGGATATTCTCTCTTGTCGCGGTTTAGCATAAAGGTTTGGTAGAGCGGAAGTTGTTGGTTTGCAGAGGACTGGATTACAGTTAAACTGGTGAGTAAGGTGTTGTCGGCATCGTGCTGTGTCTGATAATACAGTAGATTGGGAGGGATGTCGATCACAGTGCCTGCAGGATCAGTCATTTAGAGGGAATCTGATCAGCAGTGTGTGCGCGCTCGTATTTTGCTCAGTCAGCTGAAAGCCAAACTTGAGAGAAGGATAAACAATTCACAGCTTGTAATGAGTCGCTATTATTTACATTTGCATCGTCATTTTACTTGGGGCATAGATTGAACCGAAACATTTAGTCTCGGATATTTATGTGAGAAATTTATAGTGTTAAATATTATCTTGAATGGTTTTATTCAAAAAGTCACCATAATAACTGAACCTGCAAGTACAGTAACAGGTGCGCAGTAGTTTCGCGTCTTAATAGAGTCACATGATAATATAATATCCTGGGTCTATTATTCAGGCAGGTAGATACAGAACACGTGCAGGTGTTTAGTGTCTTTACGTTTGGATCATTTTATTTATTTATTTATGTTAATATTGAAACCTCCCTCTAGTTAGAGAGAGTCTCTTTTGAAAATTAAATATATAATCCAGATAAAAATGAAAATTCTGTCATTACTTATTTCTCATGTTGGTCCAAACCTAAAGATGTTAGAACAGAGAGACTTAGTCACCATTCGCTTTCATTGCTTCTTTTGTTCATACAGTCAAAGTGGATGGTGACTGCGACTGTCATTTGTGATTTTTAGCTGAGAAAGTAGTCATATTTTGTATGGTAACAGACGAGA